CCTCGTTCTCCTCCAGTGCTGTACGTCGACAACAAGGCTGCCATTGCCTTGTGTGAGGAGCACAGACTGGAGCACAGAACGAAGCACATCGCTCTGCGGTACTTCCTGGCTCGAGAGCTGCAGCAGCGTGGTCAGCTTTGTCTGCGTTACGTGGCCACGGAGGCCAACACTGCTGATGTGTTCACCAAGGCGCTTCAGCCTTGTGACCATCAGCGCTTTTGCACTCTGCTAGGCCTTGTACCTACTGGGCCTCACTTACTTACCTCTTGACCTTGCTTGTACTGTGATCACTATATATATATGCCTACTTGTTTACGTTTGCTAGGTTGTGATCACTGTATCTCTTGCTTTGTTATAAACCTGCATGTGAACTGGTCTTGTGACCGCTTGCTTGTGCTCGGAATTTGTGTGGAATCCTTGAGATCCACCCTGAGCTTGTTTTGCTTTGCTTTGACTGGTCTTGTGACCCTGTAGCTGTCTCCCACTGCGCCTATGGGGGTGTGTCAAACATTGCATGTTTATATTGTCTAGGCTGTAGTGGGTTACACCTTAGGGGGTACACTAAGTTAGGGTTTCCTACTTGTACCAAACTCTGTTCTAGTTCATTCATTCCTGTTCAGTTATTTCTGACACAATTAATGTTAAGAATATTAATAATGAAATACACACCACGCATGCTTAAATGAATGCAATGAGACAAGATATATAAATGCATAATACTGATACATGGATGGAAATGCTTTTGTATGCATGCTAAATGCTAAATGCAACATACCAGCATATCATCATCATACAAATGCGTAATAGTTAACGACACAAAAACTAGGCTACCGCATCCCCTGCCTAGCATGGGGGGGAAGTCAATAGCAAAGTTTTTGAATAATCAACTAGCACATGAAACAATACAATCTGTTAACTCTAAAAAACAAGTTCACTCTATCAAATCCAGTTCGAAGTGGCAAACACACGAGTCACTGAGTGCGCCAATGAACCAATGAGAAATGATAGAAATGAACCCATTTTTTAAAATTGACAGACATGCATTGATATTGCAATGATAAATGAAAAAAATGCACACTCACACACAAGGAAACACATTCACACATTTACAGAAGCACGAACACCGGCAAAACCAGCAAAAAACATGCGATAATAAATAACATGCAAATCAACGTTAAAATGACATTTTGGTAAATCCTATTAGTGACAAATGCGCATTTTCCAGATAGAAATCGCATTTCTGACCAGCAGGCTCCTGCGAAACGGGTCCAGGAAACGATACAGTAAACGAAAGAAGAGAATATAACGAAATACGGAGAACAAGAGCGAGAGAGAGAAAGAGGACGAGAGAGAGAGGACGAACTCGAGAGAACGAACTCGAGAGAACGAACGAGAGAGAGGACGAACGCGAGAGAACGAACGAAAGAGAACGAACGAGAGAGAATGAACCTAAGAGAGAGAACGAGAGAGGGAGAGAACTAGAGAGAGAGAACGAGAGAGAGTGAGAGTACGAACGAGAGAGAAAACGAACGAGAGAGAGAACAAGAGAAAGAGAAAGAGAGAAAGGGAACGAGAGAGAGGGAACGAGAGAGGGAGAACGAGAGTGAGAGAACGAGCGAGAGAGAACGAAAGAGAGAGAGGGAGAACAAGAGAATGAGAACGAGAAACAGAGAACGAGAACGAGAACGAGAACGAGAACGAGAGAATGAGAACGAGAAACAGAGAACGTGCGAGAGAAAGAGAGAACGAGAGAGAGGGAACGAGAGAGAGAACGATAGAGAACGAAAGAGAGAGAACGAGAGAGAGAGAACGAGAGAGAGAGAGAGAGAGAGAGAGAGCAAATTCATAACTACGGTTTCAAAAGAGCCTATGTAGTATTCAAAATATGACGGTTAGAAGGATGTGACGTTTCTAAACCGAATAAAAGCAAAAGGTGAAAGAAAAATGGATTCAAAACAAGGGAGAGAGGATGAGAGAGAGGGAGGACGAATGAGAGGAAACGAACGAAATATGATGAAATAAAACATACAATTATGATTTACTACCATTCGAAAGCAACAATGAACCGTAGCTGCAGCTAATTAAGATCATACAAGAGACATATGTCTCCTGGATTGTCTAATGTAATTGGATTGACTCACATCTTATTATTTTTAAAGGAAACTAGAGACTCAAGCATGGAGGAGTAATAAGGAACGATTGAAAGAGAAAGAGAACGAGGCAAAACCAGAACTTAAGCTTAATCAACTGACATCCTTTAAACAAAACCAGCAGAAGAGAAAACGACTATGATACGAGATTAAGCTAGCTAGTAATACTATAGATAGCACTGCTATGATACGATTAAGATAGCTACGACTATGATACGCGGCCACACACTAGGTACTAATCATCTAAGGGTTAGGGTTGTTCTTACCTTAGTAGAAACTGGTAGGTGGAGCCTAACTAGGAGCTCAACCAGCGGGAGGGAGGAAGAAAAAGAGCACGAGCAAACCCTAAAGAAGTTTCAGATTCGTCGAGCAAAATGTTACCTATAAGGACCTTTGAAGATGGTTAATAGTGGCGTTGGTGCAGTCGTTAAGAAAAAATTGTGAGTCTAGTGGTTTCAAGTTCGAAACCTGCAGGGACACTTTTCGAATCTTTGGCACTAAGTACCAACTTCATGTCATACTACAGCATTGTGTATAGTCTACAGCTTTATAAAATTTGTGTATTTACCAATACGTAAGACTACAACGCTTCGCAACCCTAGGACGACATTGTCGCCTCTTGTTAATCATACATAGTATCCAGACCCTTGTTGATTACGAGTGGCATATTCTCCCGTATATTCCAGGGGGGCAACTTCAAGCGATGTGGTTGATCCAACCTGGACACACTCCCAGCCACTGGTGCAAGCAAGCGGGCTGAGTCGCGTTCGAGGACGCTAAGACGAACAATGGAACGGACTGTCGGAAATTTCAGGGAACACGGGCAGCCACTGGTGCAAGCAGACTAATGTCCCATTCGAGGGTGTTGTACAAACAAGGGGTCGGAAATATTTCGACCTCCGTAAGGACGTGGGAACGGATCGAGGCAATCTGAGGCTGATCGCCTCGATCAAAGGCGACCCACATTCTCACTGCAGGATGAGAGAAGATGGATGGTTGGGATGTTGATCGCTTCTGTTCGAAGTGATCGGCTTGATCCAGTCCACGCCCTAAACGTCCCCACTTCCGACACAAGTTTTGATGATGACACCGAACAGCAAGTTTACGCTGACCGTTGGAAAACATGCCCTAGAATTACACCAGACCGCGATACGGTGCTATGATTACGTAACCGGTGATCTCACACATGCGATGCGTGGTGTGGAGGTTGAGCACACCTGTCATATCTTTTATACCACCACTAATTTGCGGGATCCATGGACCACGGATGCCAACGTGTACACACTGGAAACTGTAGGGTACACCTGCCATTTGTTCCGTGCAGACGAACAACCTGCAGATCATTTTTTTTTTTTTTGAGCAATCCACCAATACTGTATTACAATGCTAGTCCTCAGTGGTCAAAGTTACTGTAGTAAAGTCGAGAACCACCCCAAAAACGTAGTTGACCTGTATTCAACCATGTATGTATCAAACATGAAACTGCGATAATTTCACGCCCTGAACATTTTCTTACTAGACACCCTTTACGGGTTTCAGTCAGGTTAGACGCACACCCTATCATTACGGGTCTATCAATCCGGAACCGGCAGGAGCTGGCTCCCGAAACTCGATCTTTTTAGACCGAGTTTGTTAGATAGTACTAGAGTTATATTTGTTCGTGTCCGTAAGCTCGCGTTGGGATTGTGACACCTTATCCTCGATAATTCTACGCATGTTCCGAACTACCTTTGAAATCATATTTCACGAGGAATAGTACCCCAGTCGCTCCCCCTCACCACACCCACACACCTTGGGCTGATTGCGACGCGGTGCTGCTCGAGGGGAAGAACACTGGAACAACGCACAATTTCCGTCCCACCAGTGATATCTCAGGGGAATCCTGAGCCATTCGTATCTTCGACAACAAAGCACTTGGTTGTGGTGCATCGACACAACACGCTGTTGGAACCTGAGGTATATGGTCCATCTGTCCACCCATGATTTCAGACCCTTGTGCCACACAATTTCAAGGAAATTTAACTTCCAAACAATCAACTTCCTAACAAGCGACTTCTTTCCGATTTTCTAAGACTTGGTGCGACTTCATGCGATGTGAACCACTTAACAACTCTGGGTCAGCTGCCCGAATAGTTGCGACCAAGCGTTACCATTTGTTACCAAGTGACAGGTCTCGCAGATAGGTGAAATGTTCCGCCACTTTACTGGCTGCGAACCGCCACTGTACATTTGCGACAGACAATGAGTGATGGATGTTGTTTGTTCGGAGGTGCAAAAACCAACCTCCTAACAAGTTTGGCGTGTGCGACGACCAACTTGTTGGGAAGTTGGTTGTTTGGGGGTCCGAAATGCGCCGTGGTCATTAATAATAATAAATTACAAAAAAAAAAGCCACACGTCAATGATTCATTTGGTGCCTCCGTTCCCTGTATTCTGCGTGGTAATCCACCAGCCGTCTCAAAGATCCCCAACCCGAATTAATTACTCGGCGGGAGAAAACTCTCTGGATTCCCATCACCTCGAGGACTCTCTGTATGTCCTCGTGCTCCATGGGGCACACCTTCCATCATATTCCTACACTAGTTCTCAGCGACGAAATATTTCAGCGCATTCCCAGTTATCAGACGGCACATCATACCACTCCACCATTCCCGTTCCTGAATTACTATGGGTCTCCACCCGCACATCGTCGTGCAAGAGCAAAAGCTCTACGGTTTCCAATGCCGCGGGCTCTTCGCTCGCAGCTTTATCGCGCAAGGCGAGGTCGTCTGCGAATGGGACGACGGAGAGATTCGAGCGTACCACGCTTCTGACTTATCGGCGGAACCCGATAAGGAGAAGCGCGAGACAATGATTCGCTACGCGTACATGGTCGGTGACGACCTGTACGACACGACAACCGACCCCGACGACGACCCGAGCTTTTATTACAACCACTCGTGCGACCCCAACACGTGGTACGCTAACCCGCGTTGCATGGTGGCCCTGCGCGACATTCAGCCGGGCGAGCACGTCACGTACGACTACGCTTGCACGGAGACGGAGGGTAGCATGCACGCCGGCCTGCGCTGCCGCTGCGGCGCCGCGTGCTGCCGCGGTACGCTCACATTCACCGAGTGGCGCTCGCACGACTGGCAACGGCGGTTCGCAGGCCACTGCTCGGCTTATATCGAGCGGAAGATGGCCGAGTCGGGGTGGTACGACCCGCGCGTGGTGACTCGCCACAAGGGCCGCGGCGCGGACGCCTTCAAGGGGCTGTTCGCATTGGCGAGCATCCGACGCGGGGAACCGCTTCTCGTTTTCGCTGGCAAGCTTGTCGGCCTCGACTACTTGCTGGGAAGCGAAGAACGCACGCGGGAGCTCTCGCTGCGAGTCAACGATCACCTCTGGCAGGTCCCGGATCCAGCGCGTGGGCCCGAGACGCCCGACTTTATCGACCACTCGTGCGACCCAAACTGCGGTTTGGAAGACTCGGTGACGGTGGTGGCCTTGCGGAACATCGCGCCGGGTGAAGAGTTGAGCATCGACTACGGCAGCACCAATGCCGGCGTCGTCCGCACCAGCAGTGACAACTTCAGTTGCCACTGCGGCGCGTCGATCTGCCGCGGGGTGGTCACGTGTGACGACTGGCGGCTACCCGAGCTGCGGCGACGACTTTGGCCGTTCTTCCCGCCGTTCATCAAGCGGTTAATCGTGAGAGAGTTCAAGTCAGACTTGAAGCGGTCTGAGAGTGATGAGTCGTGCGAGTCGCTCGAAGGAGATGAACTGGCCTTCACCACAAAGCCTGGCCCCTGTTTTAAGTGCTAGGGCGTGAATACAGTATTAACACTACTGACTGTTTGGCGGGACGGTCCTGTCTGTAAAAGAACTCACGAACATGGGCTGGTGTTGTTTTCTTCCTTTAGTCCCTTCCTCCCTTCCCCTCCTCTTTCCACCTTTCTCTTTCATTTCTCTTCCTCACTCTTTCTCTTCTGATCAACCTTTGTCTTTTCCACCACTACTATCTTTCCTCTTTCCTCCTCTCAATCTCTACCTTCAACACCCCTTACCTTTGTGTTGTACTTAATCCATAATATACGAAAGGTGTTGGATATACAGCACTAGAGTTGTGATTGGATTCTTATAAGCCCCGAAGATCTTCGCAGTTTTTGATGTGTTTGCAAGGATCCCTTGATTCCTATCAGAACCTAGACATGCTTTTCTCATACCGTGATATAGATGTCTTGGTGTCCTCGATAACAAAGCCTTACGTATAGAAGGGGCCAAAATCTGCATGATGACAGGTTAGAATCGATCCTCTGGCACAAATATAAACTTTCATAATTTGTTCTCCCTCTTTCCGTCCGCGTTTACATTATTTCAGAGGTATTTTCTGCTAGCATACCAGTGAAAGCACTGGATTTGATTTTTCTCAAATCCCCAGGAGCCCCAAAATCAATCCTCTGCCCACGTTCCAAAACAAGAACCTGCAAAAAAGGGGTCGAGAGGCAGTGTGCGATGGTGATGACGATGCTGTGCTTGATATACTTTGGAGACGTCTCAAAAAGGCTTGCCTGGTCATAATCAACAACTGTTGAGAGGCGGTGTGCGATGGTGATGACGATGCTGTGCTTGATATACTTTGGAGACGTCTCAAAAAGGCTTGCCTGGTCATAATCAACAACTGTTGAGAGGCGGTGTGCGATGGTGATGACGATGCTGTGCTTGAATGACTCGCGGAGGATGTCCTCAGAATGAGGCACATGCAACGCTCTTGTGACTTGCCTGATCGTAATCAAGAACGGTCGAGAGGCGGTGTGCGATGCTGATGACGGTGCTGTGCTTGAATGACTTCCGCAGGATGTCTTTGATCGCTGCATCGCTCTCCCCATCCATGCTCGCTGTCGCTTCATCCATCAGCAAAACCCGTGTTGACGCGAGCAATGCTCTGTATGGAAAACAAACGCCATCAGAAAGCGAGAGAGATAGAGGGAGGAAAAACAGCCGAATTCAGACTGTAACCAACAATAATAGTATCACCATCAATATAGGATTCTGAAACAGAGATAAGACCTGCCCTGTAATTGCCGCCCCCCCAACGCATCCCTTGGGCTTATCATGCAAGGCAGAGCAGTTGCCTCTGGCCCAAGGAGAGGCTCCCGCCGCCCTGTGCCAGGGCATCATCTAATTAACCCCCGCTGCAGCCCCACCTACAATGGCTTCAGGTGCACTGACTTTGAGACAACTCAAAAGCCACCTCCAGTAAGGAAGCCAAGCGCCTGAAAACAGATTTTGTGGCGCTAGTTAAGGCTCCTTAAAAGCTCACCTTGCTTCGCAGGGTGGCGAGTGGCAGCGATGCAATGTCCAGATCGTCTATGTGAATGCTTCCTGAAGACATTGCAGCAATGCTCCACCAATGTGCTTCACCGATGCTTACCTTGCTTTGCAGGGTGGCGAGTGGCAGCGATGCAATGTCCAGATCGTCTATGTGAATGCTTCCTGAAGACATTGCAGCAATGCTCCACCAATCTGCTTCACCGATGCTTACCTTGCTTCGCAGGGTGGCGAGTGGCAGCGATGCAATGTCCAGATCGTCTATGTGAATGCTCCCTGAAGACGCTTCTACTAGCCGCAGCAGAGCGAGCATGAGGGTGGACTTGCCAGCACCTGATAAGTTGAAACACAGCACATGGACATAGGCAACGCAACACAGGCAGTTACCACAGTCTCAAACTTTGTTACAGAAGGCTGGAATGTTTTATGCTATTGATTTAGATCACTTTTGAGATTTCTAAAAAACCAGCAAGCAAGCATTTCCCCTTCGAAACACAGAGGCAGCCCCACATATCGCCTCACCTGTTCGCCCCACCACACCGCACTTTTCCCCCCCAGCGAGCCGAAAGGTCAAGCCACGCAGCACTGCTTGCCCCGTGCGGCCATACCGCACCATCAGCTGCTCCACTTGCACTGCCCCTGCTGACGGCCAGGGTTGGCGAGGGGTGCCTTTGCCGTACCCCTCCTCCTCGCTGTCTGATGCTGCATCAGTGGCTTGGAAGTGGGTGGAGGGAGGATTGCGAGTGAGCAGAGTTTTGAAGGAAAGGAGGCTGATTGCTGCTTGCAGAGCCCTGTACAGAAAGCTGGATAGTGAGGATTTGGTGGTGGAATTTTCCTGCTGCTGATGCTGCTGTTGTTGTTGCGGCGGCTGCTGCTGCTGCTGCTGCTGCCGCCACTGCTGCTGCTGATGCTTGGATTCACTTTTGGGGCCCGGTGTGGGCTCTTCCCCAGGCAGCGTGGTGTACTCGAGTGTGCGCTCAACACTGGTGAACTGCCATGCCATGGATGGGGTGGGGTGTCAGAGGGTGCAGGGAGATAACAACGAACGTTGCTGAAATGACCAAGGGCAGGAGAGAGGGATGAGAATTGGATGCGGAAATGGGTTGTGCATCATCAAGACGCATCACATAAGGCGCCGAGACAACTTTTGAGGTGCCTCAAAAATAGGTGCCGTGTATCATCAAGACGCATCACATAAGGGCTGAGATAGCAGATGAGTGTTTGATCTCCTTAAAAGCACAGTGTGCAGATGTATGTAGTGACTCCTGAGAATTCTAAGGAGAGTGCGCGTTCTCCTGGCTCCCACCCTCCGTGGTACTTTCTCCCTTGCCTCCCTTCGTTCACACAAAAAAACATCACAACCATCACACACACCCCTGCCTTTCCACCCTTTTCACCCTGCCCCCCCCTCACCATGATGCTCTCAAGCTCCACGCCATATAGCGGCACCCAGCGCAGCGAGTCCAGCAGCCTTCCCTTCCCTCACCATTTTCCCCCACACCCATGAACATCGCACCCATGAACATCGCACCCATGGACATCACACCCATGAACATCGCACCCATGGACATCACACCCATGAACATCACACCCATGAACATCGCACCCATGAACATCGCACCCATGAACATAGCACCCATGGACATTGCACCCATGAACATCGCACCCATGAACATCACACCCATCACATCCCTGCTCGTTACTCCCCCCTCTTTAGTACCCTTGCCCTCTCCCCTTACCGTGTTCTCCAGCTCCACGCCGTATTGCAGCGCCCAGCGCAGCGAGTCAGGCAGCTGCAGCAGATAAGACAAAGCCAGCGCGGCCAGGGCGGGCGGCAGCGAGTGGCGCAGGGCCACGGCGGCGAGGGCGGCGGAGAGCAGGGCGGCGGCAACGAGGAGGTCCAATCGGAAGCCCAGCCACTCCCACGTGGCGAGCCAGAATAGGTGCGGGCTGGCGTTGGCGGTGACGTGGCGCAGGAAGAGGCGGTGGAAGCGGCACTGCTGGGAGAAGGCCCGGATGGTTGGCAGGCCCTGGTGTGGGGGAGAGGGGAAGGGAGAGTAGAATTTGAGGTGATTTTGGGAAGCTGCGCTAGTGGGTGGGAGAAGGCTTGAATGGTTGGGAGGCCCTGGGAGGGGGAGAGGGGAAGGGATTAAAGAATTTGAGGCGAGTTTGAGAAGCAGCGCTGGTGGGAGAAGGCCCGGATGGTTGGCAGGCCCCGGGAGGGGGGGGGGGAAGGGGGAGGGGAGGGGAGGGGAGTAGATACTTCTAGAGGTGAGCTTGAGAAGTGCATGTAACAGTGGATGCGTGCCTGGTTTGTCTCGCAGTGCGTGTGTGTGCGCGCGCGCGCGCGCGCGCGCATGTTTGTGAGTGCGAGGGGGAGGGAGCAACAACTCGTGATTCTCACCTCCATGGTGGCGAGGAAGCGAGCGAGCAGCACGGAGCGTGTTGTGCATTCCATGCGTCGGACCTCCATGGCGGTGCACACATACAGATGCCGCAGGTGCAGCAGCAGCAGCAGCAGCAGCAGCATGGGGATGAGTGTCCATGGTACCGCTATGCACGCCGATACCACCGCCGCAACGCACAGGCCGAAGGGCTGTGGGCAGTTGCGTGGTAGAAAAGGGAGGGCGGAACGGAGGGTATGGGTATAGGGGGGGCGGGATGATGGAAAGTGGGTGACTGGGAGTAAGGTGGGTGCAACATTGTGCGTTCATGTGGTTTTCACGTGCCTTTGAACTGAACGTATGGTTGTGCATCCCTCGCATCCACCCCTCTAATTCTCTCCCTACTGCCCTCTTCACCCTGCTTTTATTTCCCTCCTCTTCACAACCACTTCTAATCTCCCTCTTCCATCTTCCCTCCCTCCCTACCTCCCTCCCTCCCTCCGCTCTCTCCCCCAATCCTTCCACTCACATTGAGGAAATTCGAAATTCAGCACCAGCTGTGAAAACACATCGTCGGTCACCCAGCCGGGAGCATCAGCTGCGACTGTTACCCCCCACCCGCTTCCCTCCCTCCCTCCCTCTCAATCCCCCCACCCTTTCAACTCACATTGAGGAAGTCCAGCAGCAGCTGCGGAAGCACATCATCTGTCACCCCGAGTTCCTCACTGAATCAGTTCAGCACACAAGCCGTGGGGTTGGGTTCCGGGTAAAGAAGGCAAGGGGGTTTAGGGTTTAGGGTTCCCCCCCACACCCTCCACTCACATTCAGGAAGTCCAGCCCAGCAGCAGCTGTGGCAGCACTCGTCTGTCACTCCCTCCCTCCCCTCCCCCTAATCCCCCCCTCCCTCCACTCACATTCAGGAAATCCAGCAGCAGCTGCGGCAGCACATCATCAGTCACGCCAAGGTCCTCACTGAGGCGGTTCAGCATGCAACCCGTGGGGTTGGGTTGCGGTGGAAGAAGGCGAGCGGCGATGTGGCTCTTGAGTCGACTCACAAGTCACCTCACTCACATTCAAGAGCCACACGTCAACTCACATTGAGGAAGTCCAGCAGCAGCTGCGGAAGCACATCGTCCGTCACCCCAAGGTCCTCACTGAAGCGGTTCAGCACGCGGCCCGTGGGGTTGCGGTGGAAAAAGGCGAGTGGCGAGGCGAGCACGGACGAAAGCATGAGGGAGTGCAGGCGGGAGGAGGCTCGCAGCGCGGCGAAGTGGAGGAGAAGCGAGGCGAGGAGGGAGAGGGCCACGCAGGAGGGCGATGGCGGTGAGGGTGGCAAGCGGGTGGGGTGTGCTTTCCAGCTCCTCTGTCCACAGTCCCAGGAACCTTGTGAGAGGGGAGGGGAGGGGGAAAGAGGGGAGGTGAGGGGAGGGGAGGGGAGTGAAGGGAAGAGGGGAGAGGACCACACAGGAGAGGGCGATGACTGTCAGCGTGACAAGTGGGTTGGGGGTGGACCAGCCTCCTCCGTTCACGCCATTAAGAAAGGCTGGTTTCGAGCCGCTGCAAGCAAAGAGTATGAATCGATTAGTACTGATTCTACTACTCTGAAAAACGAGGGAAGTCGTAAGCAAAGGTCTTTAAGTCAGAGAGCCAGACATATAGGCCCGGATGCGCGTGCGAACGCGTTTGCCTTTTCTCACCAGCTTGCGAGGGCGTTTGCCTTTCCTCACCAGCTGACAAGGGCGTTTGAGATGTGTGCGGCGAGGAAGAAAGCGGTGAAGAGCAGCAGAGGCAGCACGCGGATCTTCCAGGCGTAGCCCCAAAACACAGACAGCGGGATGGCGCCCTGCTGCCACCCCTCCACGTCCAGCAGGCCTGCAGGCACGCACAGGGGGATGGAAGCATGCACAGGCGGATGCACACACAGCGGTTTGGGGATAGCGTGAAATGGGATGGTGGGACGCACACCCAGAGGTTGAAGCACATACACAGACAGGGGGATGGCGCCCCGCTGCCATCCTTCCACCTCCAGCAGGCCTGGAAGCACACACAGCGATTGCGTGGGATGGGATAAAAAAAGGGCGGGGAGGGTGTGAAAAGACAGCTGCAAGCACACACCCTGGGGTTGGCGTGGGATGGGACACCGGGAGCACACCCGGGGATGGAAGCACACACAATTGCGTGGGACGAGTCACGGGCAGCTGGAGGGCTTGGGATAAATCTAAGATGAAGCCATGGTTGCCTGCTTACCTTGCTCTTCACCTTCTGAGGAGCCACTCGCACCCTCCTCCTCTTCCTCCTCCTCCTCCTGCACTCCCGTCCTCCTCCGGAAGAGGGAGTAGCTCCTCAAGTGGGACACACTCCTCCTCCTCTTGTGCAACGAGCCCTTGGCATCCTCGCCCCCATGTGGGACACTCTCCTCCTCCCTGCGTGCATCTTCCAACCCTTTCACCCCCTCTGCTGTCTCCCCTTCTCTGCTGTCTCCGCCACTTCCTCTCAACGACAATTTTCTTTGGATCAACTCACAAGTTTCCCCATGTGGGACACTCTCCCCTTCCCTGCATGCATCTTCCACCCCCTTCACCCCCTCTGCTTCTCTGCTGTCTCCGTTGCATTCTCTCAACGACGATGCTCTTTGAATGCCCTCCTTCAACCCGTCTGCTGTCTCCCCTTCTCTGCTGTCTCCGCCGCTTTCTTTCAACGGCAATGTCCTTTGAATGCCCTCAGTCGCCCCATCTGCTCTCCTCGCCACATCCTCGCCTCCACTCAACAACGATTCCCTTTGGATCAACTCACAAGTCTCCCCATGTGGGACACACTCCCCTTCCCTGCAGGCATCTTCCACCCCCTTCATCCCCTGTGCTGTCTCCGCCACATCCTCGCTTCCTCTAAATGACGACTCTCTCTGAATGCCCTCCTTGGCCGCCTCTCCCCTCTCCACTTCAGCGTCTGTCTCAATGACGGGGCATTCACCTTCGCTTCCTCTCAACGCCGAGTCCCTGAGGTGAGTGCCCTCCTCGCATTCCCTCATGCACTCTGCTGCTGCATCTGTGTTGTTGCTCTCACTGCCCCTGTCGCGTTCCACAGAGCTGCCACTGCCGCTGCCTGTGCAGCGCTCTGGGTCAGCAACGGTGGCAGCAGCTCTGTGTGTCGGCTCTGGCAGCGGCACTGCAGCATCCGTGTTCGTGCTGCTGCTGCTGCTGCTGCTGCTGCTGCTGCTGGAGCCAGGGACAGTGGCAGTGGCAGTGACAGTGACAGTGGTAGTGGTACAGGCGGCACTGTCACTGCCAGTGCCAGAAACATCAGAAACATCAGAAACGTCTCGCCCCAAAAGGGAGTTTTCACAGTGTTGCTGAGCAGCGGGCAGGGCGCAAATGTCACTCCACACGCCACATGCCGCTGCTCTGCCACCGTCCAGCACCAACACTCGGTCGCAGCTGAGGATGGGGGGGAGGGACGGGGGCAGAGCAAACACAGAGGGAGAAAGAGGTGTTTGTGTGACTGTTGTTGAGCAGGGGGCGCTGAGGTCACTCCATGCGCCACACGCCGAGGTCACTCCATGCGCCACACGCCGCTGCTCTGCCACCTTCCAGCACCAACACTCGGTAGCTGGGGACTGGATGGGGGCAGGAGGGGGGTAAAACAAACACATAGGAAGAGAGTCGCTTTTGCGAGATGGGGGATAGGAGAGGGAGCAAGAACAAAGACGAAGGGAGGACAAGGAAGGTTGACCTTGAGTGAGAGGGATTCAATGGGACAGAGGGTAAGCTTACATGGGATAAGGGAGGGGTTCAAAGGGATAGAGAGGGGTTCAATGGGGTGCAGAAGGAAAGATGTGCATCTGTGTGCATGGATGGCTTTATGGCTTTGAGCTTGCACACTTGTATGGGACACAACAGAAACGCAAAGACGCATGAGCAGACACATCCCAAGAAAGGGGCAAAGAGCGTGTGCGGGAGTGCAAGCGAATGGGATGGGGGATCACTGTAACAAAAACCCCGCCTCCCTCCCTCATCAATTCTCTGCTCCCTCTCCACCCCTTCCCCATCCGCTTTCCCAACACCCATTACCATACCTCCCCGCCCCTTCCCCATCCCGTTCCCCCACACCCAGTACCATACCTCCCAAGGTACTGCACGTGGTGAGTGACGACAATCCGGGGCAGCCCTGCCAGCAGCCCACACACGCACTGCTTTTGAGTCAACTCAAGACTAAACTCCCCTTCCCCATCCCCTTCCCCCACACACACCCATCACCATACCTCCCAAGGTACTGCACGTGGTGAGTGACGACGATCCGGGGCAGCCCTGCCAGCAGCCCACACACGCACTGCTGAAACACGTGGCAGGCAACGGCTGGATCCAACGCGGCTAGAGGGTCGTCTAATAGGACCAGCACGGGTGGGGGAGCACCCCGGCTGTTGCTGCTGCTACCGCTGCTGCCGCCGCCGATGTTGGTGGTGTTAATTCTATTGCTATTTCTATTGCAGTTGTTTCCTCTGCTGCTACTGCTATCAGTGTGGGACTGTTGTGCGGCAGCGCAGCAGTGCAGGGCGGCATACGCCGCCCGGGCGAGGGACACGCGCGCCCTCTGCCCGCCACTAAGGTTGCCCCCGCCCTCCTCCACCATTGATTCGTCGCCACGTGGCCACAGGGCCAGGTCCGTGCGCAGGGCACAGGCGTCCACCACCTTGAGTGGGGGGGCAGATTCAGAGAGAACGGGGAAGGAGAAGGCCACGGGGGAGGAAGAGGCAAGAGGCAAGGCAACGTCGAGGAATGGCAGAAGGAGGCATTGGGAGACGTTGAGAGGAATTCAGGGCGGACCCAAAACGAAGGCAGTGACGGAGTAAGAGAGAGCAGAGAGGAGAGGGCGACGGGCGGAGAAGAAAGGGGAAGGGACAGCAGAGAAGAGGGGAGCTTTGGGAGACGTTGAGAGGAATTCAGGGCGGACCCAAAACGAAGGCAGTGACGGAGTAAGAGAGAGCAGGGAGGAGAGGGCGACGGGCGGAGAAGAAAGGGGAAGGGACAGCAGAGAAAGAGGGGAGCTTTGGGAGACGTTTGAAGGATCAGGGTGGATATTCCTAAGCATAAAGCACACCTTGGTATACAGTGTCTCGTCTAGCAGTGTGCCGAAGAGAATGTTCTCTCGCACCGTGCCCTCTATGAGGAACGGCTGGCGGCATGGGCGCATAGAAGAATGGAGGGGGGGGGGGGGGGGGGGGGGGGGGGGGGGGGGTGTTCGACTCAAAACTCATAGGATGTTGTCGCGCACCGTACCCTCAATGAGGAACGGGTGGTCCAATGGACGGACGGAAGAAGGTGTACATAAGGAGGGAGGGGATGGGGGGAAGGTGGGGGTGGTTGGGGCTAGATAGCTGGAATGGTCAGACCGTCCCCTCGGTGAGGATGCTGTCGCGCACCGTACCCTCGATGAGGAATGGCTGGTGGCATGGACGGGCGGGAGGAAGTGGGGGAGAGAGGGGATGGCGGGAGGAGAGACGGGGGTGGAAGGATGTAATATGTGGGAAAGGGGGAGAGAGAGACAAGAGGGAAAGCGCCAGAAGGAGACGAGTGGGAAAGGGTGAGAGGGAGACGAGTGGGAAAGGGTGAGCGGGAGACGAGTGGGAAAGGGTGAGAAAGAAACGAGTGGGAAAGGGTGAGCGAGTGGCGAGTGGGTGGGAGACCTGCTGCGATGCGTAGGCGAGGGAGGGCACGGAGCGGTGCATGGCGCCGGATGAGAGAGGCACTTCCCCGAGAATACCCAGCAGCAGCAGCGACTTGCCACTGCCCGTCTGCAGGGCGGCAAGGGTGGGTGGGAGGCAGGGTAAATGGCATGATCTCAGCAGTGTTTTCTTGAAGTGCGCCACTGAGCAGGCAGCACAGCAGGCAGCACAGCAGGCAGCACAGCAGGCAGCACAGCAGGCAGCACAGCAGTCTGTGACATAGCAGGCAATAGCAGGCCGCAAGCAGCAAGCTGGGCTCACCTTGCCAGTGACTCCCAGCAGCTCTGCCTCTCCCAGCCTCACGCTCACTCCCTCCACACGCCCACTCGGTGCGCCGTCTATCTCCACCTGCCCCTCTTGCTCCTCCCATGCAGTCACACGCGTGCCCTCCGTGGCAGCAGCAGCAGCAGAAGCAGAAGCAGAAGCAGCAGCAGAAGCAGCAGCAGAAGCAGCAGAAGCAGCAGCAGCAGCAGCACCAGCAGCAGCACCAGCAGCAGCAGCAGCAGCAGCAGCAGGAGAAGGGCCGGCAGCAGCAGGAGAAGGGCCAAGAGCAGGGGAAGGGCCAGCAGCACGAAGACTCATGAACCGCTGCAGGGAACGCACTCGGAAAGCTTTGGGGACGCGGCGGAAACTCCTGACGCTGCTCATGTAGCCCTTGCCATAACGCATGCCATCGGCCGTGCGAGGCTCAGTGAGATCCACAACATGCCCTGCCAATGCTTGAGTCAACTCGGAAATCGTCTCAAGCGGTTGCTTTTTCCTCTTTCGTCTAACTCCCTTTCCTCCATCCTCTTTGCTCTCCGTCGTACCCTTGCCATTAACCTCTCCTGCTGCTTCCCCCGCGTGCTGCCCTGCTTCTCCCCAAGCGAAAGAAGCCCCTTCAAGCACCAAGGCAGCACGTGGGGGGGAGGGAAGGCGTGTGGGGGCAGAGGGGGAGGAGAGGATGTGGCTGGGCAGTGAGGCGAGCTCCAACGATGGTGGGGACTGGAGACTCGGTGCTGTGAGAGCAACAGTTGTCGATTCAGGTGGCTTGGTGGTGGTTGGGGTGTGAAGGGCGTAGCGGCGCGCTTTTGGGAGCAGTGTTGAGCCGTTCTGAGATGGCACTCCTTGTTGTGTGGCTCCGTTGGGGGTGGTCTGTAGGAGTGCAGGTAGCACGCACAGGGAGGTGCACCCACAGGGAGGTACATGTAGAGGCACGCAAAGGGGATGAGATGGCATTCGGTAAGCTGGACGAGCCATTCATCACACCCACCCACGCACGCACGCACGCACGCACGCACGCACGCACGCACGCACGCACGCACGCACGCACGCACGCACGCACGCACGCACGCACGCACGCACGCACGCACGCACGCACGCACACACACACGCACGCACGCACGCACGCACGCGCATTGAGGTATATTGAGGCTTGCTCCCAAAAACGCTCACACACCCACCCACGCACGCTCGCATGACCAATCGCACCACAATGCAGCAATGCAACCTCTTATCCGTAGTGCTCCAACCAATCAACAGAGCTTGCACTGCAACGCATTGATGGTGAGAAGCTGTGAGACGTGGTGAGTGGTATTTGACTGGAGTCAACAATCCCTGCAAACGTGTTGGTTGGTAAAGATAGGCAGTGAAAAGTCGAGCGAAGTGGTGGGTGGGTGGGTGGGTGGGTGGGTGGGAGCGCAGCAGCTAAGAGCACGGTGCTTCCTGCATGCCGACCTGCAGGAAGTGTGAGAGTCGCTTGAAGCCTCAAAAGGCAATGCTGACCAACCTGCAGGAAGTGCGAGAGTCGCTTGAAGCTGACAAACGCCTCTGCTATCTGCTGTATGCCATAAGCCACCTTCCACCCCATGGTGTAGTGCGGGATCTGTGGGGATATGGTATGTATGGAGGGGAGGAGGGAACGGAAGGAGGGGAGAAAGAAAGGGAAGAGTGGGGCATGTTAGTGGAGTGGGGCATGTTAGTGGAGTGGGGCATGTTAGTGGAGTGGGGCATGTTAGTGGAGTGGGGCATGTTAGTGGAGTGGGGCATGTTAGTGGAGTGCTTAGAAAGAAGCAAGCAACAGTGCACGATGACCATCCCGTTCAACCCAGTCCCCCCCACCCACGATCGTCGAGGAGCCTCAAAATCGCAACACCTTGAGGATCGTGAGCAAGCACGTAGAACACAGCGGCCGCCAAGGCACGTGGAGGAGGTTACCAAGTGCCTCAAGAACAGCGTTGGCAGGAAGCGTGAGCGCTCGGCTGAGGTGCATGGAAACAAGCAAGCAAGGAAAGACGCACCTTGGGGAGCGTGAGCACATAGAACACAGCGTTTTGAGACGTCCGAAAGCTTACCTCCAAGAGGGTGAGCACGTAGAACACAGCGGCCGCGGTGAGTTGGCCTCCGAGGCTTGTGAAGGTGGCGAAGGTGACAAGGGCCACCACGGAGGTGAATGAGAAATAGAGCGCAGCCGTCACGGCGTTGAGGGCGGCTGTCCACTGCAGGCTGGCGGAATGGAAGGGAAGATGGGGGGTGTGTTTTGAGTCGACTCAAAACACTCCAAGACATGTTTAAAGGTGACGAGGGCCACCACTGAGGTGAAGGGGAAGTAGAGAGCAGTGGTCCAGGCGTTGATGTCAGCTGTCCACTGCAGGCTGGCGGAAGGACGGGGAGGATGGAGGGTGGAGGGGATTATTGGGGCGATCAAAAGCAGCCAGCGAGGTGAATGAGAAGAAGAGAGTGTCAGTCACGGCGTTGATGGCGGCTGTGCGTGTGTTGGTGGACAGGAGAGTGCAGGCTGGAGAGGACGGTGCGAATGGATGGTGCAGGGTGCAGGGTGCAGGGTGCGGGGTGCAGGGTGCAGGGTGCAGGGTGCAGGGTGCAGGGTGCAGGGTGCAGGGTGGTGGACAGAAGGAGCGAATGCTGATATTGATCAGGAGCGGATTCAATGACAAGGACTGCTCGAGACAGAGAGGGGGTGGAGGGGCGGGCGGGCGATGCTGAGAGGGAAGAAGAGG